CATTTATTATACATATTGCACGTTCCAATATCGTTTTCATGCAAACATTTTACAAACATGTTATTATAAATAACGCTACCCTGGTCAATCCCATTTCTTGCTATCCATGGTTCAGATTTGTTACTCTCTATTTGCATAGGGTAACACATCAAAACTATGGTTAGCGAAGATGGGTCAACCCGTCGTTTCTCATGGTTCTTGGCGTTTATAATTGTTTTAAAATCATTGACTATATCAATTCCAGTTTTATTATAGGATTAAATGAGCACGGCTGGGTATTTATTGATGTGTCAAATTTACCTGATCGTTCAAAAAGTAAATAAAGGACTTTATGCTAATTTTGTGAGTTATTAGGTACAATTTACACATAGATTAATACCCAACCATGCTCATCTAATTGTTATAATTACAGTTTTCTTCTTTTCTGTCTTCATATCAGCAGATTTCATAAAAAAAACCATTCACTTTTAGGGAGATAGAGTTTTCTTTCCCTAACCTCTGAACTACGACATAAGACATAGCCCGACCATAACTAGCCAAGATTCCTCAATTCTTGATATTGTAAAATAGGGTAGTGTCAGAGCGGGTCATCATGCCAGTGCAATCAATCAAAATCAAGAACAAACTCGCACGGACTCATAAATAAACAATTGTCCACTCTCGATCAAGTAGTTATACTTTCAACGTTAAACTTAAAAAGTATTCTTTTGAAGTCAATTGCCTCCACTATTTCTGACCGAAGTACAGTACAGTACGCCGCTGTTACACGCTATTGGTAAGTTGGTATTACAAACTATGGTAAGCAACTCGTGAAATCCAATAGATGTCGCTAGGACAAAGCACTGAGCTATCTCGATCAAAGGATAGGTAGATGAACCTATCGAAACCTTGGCTAGCAAAGATGTCGATAACGTTTAGTAAAATATTTATATCCTTTAGTCTATTCCCTGAATGTTTTTATATCAACCATTCAGCAGACCGCACGAATCTCTTGAGTAAATTTTGTTATAATTGGTTCTCTTCTCTGCAGCTAGTCGTGTTATTCATTTCGTTGTTTGATTTACCTTACCCAGCTTATGTTTAACAATATGCATTACAACAAATTGTTTCAACGTCCTTTGACCCAGTGTTTTACCACCATGTATATGTAACTCCCCAGACATTTTATTTTCACTCTGATCTTTGTTTGTATGATTAAAACAGATCGATGGTCTTGGTTCTAGCATATGCCCTCAAACAGATAGAGTGACGTCAATTTTCTAACAATTTTCAGGACTACAGTGTTCTTAAGACCGCGCCAATCCACCCTTTGGTAACATTAGTAAGATCGGCTTATGCATTACTTAAACAATAAGGGTCAATATGCAACTTACCAGATTATGAACTTCAACCATTTCTTGAATCCATAAGATTGATTTGAATCATATTTTCTTGCCAGTCCTGTACCTCTTTTTTATCTGTGTGGTGTTGTTGTAACATCAAATAGCTTTGTGTTTTGCATGTTCCTAGTAAAACACATGTATTTAATTTAATTCGCGTTGAATAGTGCATTGTTTAATTCGAATTTCTGGTTGAAAACATTTATCTATTTGGTTTCATTTAAAGTTTATCTTTTATTGTCTTTCTGTTTCAAGACCTTTTCTCTGCAAGTTTCATCATGCAAGTAAGTTTTTAAACGCTCATTATCCACACGAATATATTGTACTATAGATCCTGAATAATCATCTCAGACAATGCAAAAATAACATATAGAGAAATCGGAATAAAAATATAATATGAGACCAATATTGTAAGATAATGTAAAATAACAAGATAGTGATACCAAACATTATCATATTAAATATATGACTGATTTGATTGTTATGACCCACCAGTATAAAAATGGTCGATACAATTGCAGAATCTTCTAGGGTGTTGATGGATATGTTATCAACACCAACAAAATCATCAGGATTCTGGATTACTTTTTCATATATATTGATAAAGCACTGATTGTCAGCATCACATGAACCGAAAACATTGTGGTTCTGTTATATAAATTCATTAAAATGTTTGGGGTTTTTTTTAAATTGGATTTAAGATCTTATTTCATAGCCATTTATTTTTACAACGTTTTGAAGTATCTTTCAAATGGTTCTGTATACTTTCATGTAGGCTGAATCTCTTTTATTTTACCTAAAACATATTTATCACCTCTTTGGTATCAGAATCACGATAGGATTTTACACATGTAAATAAATGCTTCATAATATATGTGATTCAATGGAACTTTTTATTTTGTAAATTTTGTTGTATGGAGCATGAAACTACTATGGCTTCCAATTGCTATAATTGCAGTAATAGCTATTATGCTTGCAATAGTAGGAATTCCAGTTGCTATAATTGCAGTAATAGCTATTATGCTTGCAATAGTAGGAATTCCAGTTGCTATAATTGCAGTAATAGCTATTATGCTTGCAATAGTAGGAATTCCAGTTGCTATAATTGCAGTAATAGCTATTATGCTTGCAATAGTAGGAATTCCAGTTTGCTATAATTGCAGTAATAGCTATTATGCTTGCAATAGTAGGAATTCCAGTTGCTATAATTTCAGTAATAGCTAGTATGCTTGCAATAGTAGGAGTTCCAGTTGTTTATAATTGCGGTAATAGCTATTAGGAATTCCAGTTGCTATAATTGCAGCAATAGCTATTATGCTTGCAATAGTAGGAATTCCAGTTGCTATATTTGCAGTAATAGCTATTATGCTTGCAATAGTAGGAATTCCAGTTGCTATAATTTCAGTAATAACTAGTATGCTTGCAATAGTAGGAATTCCAGTTGCTATAATTTCAGTAATAGCTAGTATGCTTGCAATAGTAGGAATTCCAGTTGCTATAATTGCAGTAATAGCTATTATGCTTGCAATAGTAGGAATTCCAGTTGCTATAATTTCATTAATAGCTATTATGCTTGCAATAGTAGGAATTCCAGTTGCTATAATTGCAGTAATAGCTATTATGCTTGCAATAGTAGGAATTCCAGTTGCTATAATTTCAGTAATAGCTATTATGCTTGCAATAGTAGGAATTCCAGTTGCTATAATTGCAGTAATAGCTATTATGCTTGCAAAAGTAGGAATTCCAGTTGCTATAATTGCGGTAATAGCTATTCTGCTTGCAAAAGTAGGAATTCCAGTTGCAATAATAGTGGTAATGCATATTTTATTTTTAAAAGTGGGGATAATAGATATTGCACTTAGACTAGCACCACCTCAGATTAGTTATGATATTAACATGAATGCCTTACTCGCATTTATCATATAACTTTAACTCTTGCTATAAACACTACACAAATGTGTGAGTTAAAAATGCCATTTTTCTAGATCTGTAATAGGAGCTAACGTCATTCTATTATAATGCCAGATTAAATTCCAAAACCAAATATTGACAAGATTGCATCTATTTTAAGACTAACACTGACATTGATACAAATAAGACTTTTATTACTTACTCCAAAAATGACTGTTTACTGATGATTAGTATACTTCAAGTATTATTTATTTTGTCAAAGGTTCTAAATAGCTTTATGATTAATAATGTAAACTAAACAGAACAAGTTGCACGGAAGCCTGATAATAATTACAATCATATAGTTAACTAGAATTAAAGTTACAAAATAAATATAGCATCAGATAATCTATTGCAATGAACAAATCTATGCTGAATCTGCTGGTGAATATACAAACAAATTAAACATATGGTTGATCTCAAAACTTTAATCGAACAACTAGAATTTCAAAATGGTATTCCCCAGAAAGAATAAATTATTACTGGACATAATTGAACAATTGAATGATATATCTAATAACCCAGTAATACCCAATACAGGGATGATTTTATGAACATTGAACAGTGTTACATTATTTTGACACGTTGTGCTAAACGAATATACCAAATATATTGTTAAAAAGTAATACAGATTGAAACCTTGTAATATTTTCCGCAGCATATAACAGATGTTATTGTTAAAAGTTAAAAAGAAGCGATATAAAATATGTTGTACTATATTTTAGGAAAAGCATCCTATTTAAATACCAGTAACAGCTAAGGTCTGGCTAATATTGGTGTTTTTTTTGTTAGTTCAAATCTACTTGCTTAAGCTGGAAAAGTTTATTATAAACTGAGATATATGGATAATAAAAAAGAGAAATGAATTCACTATAATTTTCAGCTATTATGAACGGACCTTTACCATTAAAACTTAATTAGGTTAGGTTATCATTTATGTTATTTTTAACTGTAACTGTGAAGAATTCATTTAATAGCCTGGTTTAGACGACGATTACGTAACTTTCCACAGAGAAACTGAAAGTAATAAACTATGCGCTTTATGTTCAGAAAAATCGGACTTAATAAACCGAGGTTCACCTATTAGAAGATTAGATAAGTAAAGAATCATACAAATAGCAATAAATTGAAAAGGAATGGTATTACTGCCCATGTTTTTGCAACTATTGGTTGACTGTAGTAAAAAAAAAAAACTGTTGATTGATTATACTCCTAAGAACACCGAAAGAGTTGTCTGACCGCCTTTTGGTTGCTTGTGCTCAAAGTAATACCTGTTGATTGACTGTGCTCAAAATAACACAGGCTGATTGATTGTACTCAAAAGAACACTAACAATTGATTAGCCTTACCGCATGTTGGCTGATTTTACTCAAAAGAACACAAACAACGTTGACTAGTCTAATAGCATGTTGGTTGATTATACTCAAAATGACACCTATTGGTTGATTGTGCTCAAAAGAACACGCACAGAGTTGATTAGTCTAAACGCCTGTACCAGTCTAGTCAATCTTAATGATAAAATAGGATGTTTTAAGCTTTAACCGGTAAGTAATAGCACGATGCTAAAATAAACGCTTCAATAAATATAAAATTATTAAATGCTATCGAACTTACTATTAACAAAGTGAAAGCATTACATCATTCTTAGCAATTACAATACATTCCTATTAAGAGTGGTCTAGTGGTCAGAGCGTTCGCCTCAGATGCGGGAGTTGGTGGGTTCGAACCCCGGCCGAGTCATACCAACGACTTACAAAAATGGTACTAACAGCTGCCTTGCTTGGCGCTCAGCATTAAGAGGTTAGTGTTAGGACTGGTCATTATGGTGTCAGGCAAAGTGGGTGGGGCATCATGCTACATGTCTGCGACATGATGCCCCAGTGCTAGACATCACTATAAACTGCCACACTGCAGATATCGTTAAAGGTACGGTAAAAATCTAAGTCACACACACACGCACACACACACACACACATACACACACACACACTTTCCTATTAGAAGCTGTCAAAATCAGTGTAAAGCACTTGTGCCAATCCTAACAAAAAGTTGTAATAAAATGTTATTTATTAGTCCCTATATTGATTTATGTGAACAACTGCCATGACGCAACTACGTTAAACTGGTTACTTGGTATTGGAATAACTGATAATCAGACAATTAAGATATCCTGCTAGGACATTAATTAATACGACTGGTTACTTGGTATTGGAATAACTGTTAATCAAACAATTAAGATATCCCGCTAGGACATTAATTAATACGACTGGATAACAGTAATAAAGATATTAATGGATAATAACAACCACAAGCGAATGGAATGTACGGGCGACATTTTTGACAAGCAAAATCATATAAACAATTACCAATTATTTTGTCTCAATTAAATATTTAACCTCTACCTTTTTCTGAAAGAAAACAGCAAGTTAACTGACGTGATTGATAAAAAAAAAAATGGCAAATTTCAAAAATGCTTTATTTTATCTTAAGAATGAAATTTTATCTACATTTCAATAACATAATATTGAATTTGTTAATCTCGTCAAAGTTGTTAATAGAAGCGAACAGATGTTTGTTTAATTTCAGATGGTATAATGTTAATAATCGTGTAGCAAACCAACATGTAAAACGAATAGATTATTGTGAAGGAAAGGACAAACTGCATTACAAAGCTAAATGTGTAAGAGTATTTGTTAATAATCATTGCACAATAAAACCAATCGGATAAAAATGGCTCATAATAGTCGTATCAGTGCAAAACAAAGAGATTAATGAAATCAATGGTATATGAAACGTTTTGAGCCACCGTATGATAATTCATGTGATAGTATCCAAGGATTAACAGTAAAGGATGAACATAAAGTATCAGAGTGCAATTCTCCGTATGTGGACGGATATTTTATATGGATAAGATTAACACATACAATCTCATCTAGAAAATATCAAACCGTCTGTGTATAGGAATAACTTCGATGAATTTTTTTTAGTTAATTACATTTTACACATAAAACAGAAGGATCGAAATATCAACGTAAAAATGCCAGTAGACCTATAGGGAAAGATTTTATAGACGTGGAAATTAAATAAATTACAGTACATATAAATCAAAACATGTTATATGTGTAAATTATTATTTGAAGCTTCGATTTAAGAAGATGGCAAAGTAAAATCTAATATTGATGTTGACAGAATTAACAATTAATGTCGACAGAAAAAAAAAATATTATCACCACATGATTAAAAAGTGTAAGACAACTTGTCAGGTAGTATTATAAAGCACTGTGTGTTGACTGATGCATCAATTATTATATTCCTTTTAATAAGGTGCAAATTATCATAAATGCGAATATCGGTTTTTTTTCCGGCTAAGATTTTTTGCCTATCATATCAGTAAGATTCGTAGGTGCAATTTAACTGAAGTCACGACTTAAATCTGTTGCAACTTTGACTAGATCAACATAATATTTCATATATCAATGTTTTGAAAAAAAATCAATAAGTGCAACCAAAATTAAAATTTTCAAAACTAAAAAGTTTCGTAAAACTTAACAAATAATTAATTATCAAAGTTATACATGAAAATATGAGAGGACAGTATTATGAAGCGAATCCAAAATAATCATGATAAAGTTCTATGAAAGTCAAAAGGAACTATGAAAGTCAAAAGGAATGAAAAGTTCCGTATACGGTGGCGCTCTACAGTTAGGGTTAAAATTTTAAAGATAAAAAAATCGCCAGGTGTACTCACTAGTTATACTGGCTATTAAAAAAAAACCACAACAAAAAACGTTATATATATATATATATATATATATATATATATATATATATATATATATATATATATATATATATATATATATTGTCCAAAAGTACCTTTAATTCCCTTTATTTTGGTGTATGAATGATGTGTGCAATATGGGTTAGAGAGTATACAGCTTGGCCTTACTCCAGATGTGCATCTGTCATTTTCACTTTCAGAACTTCAGAGGTAAATTGTGAACAAAGGGCAGATAACTTTTTTTAATTCTTTTTTTTTACATTTTATATATTTAATAAATCATTCATTGCACTTTCAGAAGCTGGTATTGTCTAGTCTGGCAAAATTAATTTCCCTATTTTAATATATGCCAAGGATAGTGTACATTAAACAAATTAATATTGATTTTTGGAGCACAAGGGAGCAGCCATTTTAGTTAGCAGTGTGCTAAGATAATATTTTTTTACAATTTTTAAAAGTACAATATCCAAAGAAATGTCAGCCATATTATATGAAAGTAGTATATAGGTATGCTAACATTTTCTCCACTGTGCATGTTTAAAATGCAAACAGCTTCATCTTACATACATCACTCTCTCAAAAGTACATAATAACTGGCAAGCGCCATAGAAATGTTAAAACTGGAAATGTACTGGTCCTCCAAGAATCTTGATATTTTCAATACGGTGTCGTCCAGAACTCCTTTGTATAATTCATAACAGTTAAAGAATAATAGGATTGTCCAAATAATGAGCACTTTTTGTTTCCACTGAACAATCCAAGCAAATGTTTTTCCTCTAGAATCATATCTAAGTATAAGACAAAATACGACTGCAGACTTACAACAGGAACACATGAAATGAGAATGACTTTAAAAATTGGAATGAATCTGTTTGTTCTTTTCTTTCCTTATATACACTATCTATTACGACTATATTTCACAATACACTTGCGTGACTTATCTGACTACTCAATTTTTCTCAAACTTGCCAATTCATGTGACATAGCTCTACCAATGGGAAGTTAATGAGCTCTTCTAAAACCGCCCTGAATCGGGACTAATAATTGTTACCTGATTCCAGCTAGGCTATGGGTTTTGAGAAAACACCGGAACTTGTAAAGTTTGGGCCCGCACAAGCATTGTAACGGAGGACATATTTGATTGGAGTATCGACCTCATTTATATAAACTTTGCTTGGTCAGGCATCATTTACATAAACTTTGAAAGGTCATTTTGCGAAGCTATTCTGTGCAACTTGATCTGGCGTTTATTGGTTGACTTCTTCTTGCTTGTTTGTCTTACAATTTTAAAATAGCAATTCTTCAAGGACGCCGGTCAGTCGACGAACTAACGATGGACAAATGGCGATGCCTTAGCTCGACCTTACGAAAAGATGACCTAAAAATGCATCAGGTATGTCCTATCACACTCCATTCCATTCGCCTTATTAGAGTCTGCGACAAGTTTTTTTGTTAATCTGACAAGATTTTGGGTACAAGTGATATTTTTTTGTTAAGTAACATATTGCAGTAACGGTTAAGATATATTGCAACACTTTGCTTTATGCTTTAATACCGGTACTTCAATATCAAAAGATTAAAAAATCGGTGATTGTTTTAAAATTCTATATTAAAAAGACACTGGTTGGTAGCATAATCCATCGAATTGACCATGTTCATCTATTAGAATTCTTAAAACTTGTTATGCATCATTCACAATTTCGTACAAGCCGGAAAACAAATAATCAATTTTTCTTTTTAATTAATTTTAAAGGCAGAGTTTTAATGAACATCAAACATTATATTACAAAAAAAAAAGTCTCACACGAACCCAATTCGAACTAGCATCCTAAGGATGTCTATTTATTTCCTGTACAGGCTTCCACTTCATCAGTTGAACTATCGAAACAGGTACTAAATCTGTTTTCTAGGCACGACACTCCAATTGGATTATTCCCGTTCAGCCTTTAGTGTGAGCTCGGATTTATATAACATTAAGTATATTTACTCACCTCTCTGAATACGACAGTTATATTTTATAGCGGTGGCTCCAGCTTGGTAAAGGTTACGAGTCGGGATTGCCCGGATGACCTAGATAACGTGAAGTGGCTGCTATGGACCACGGCTCATTTTGACCAAATTATGCATTGCTTCGGATCAAATGCCTGGCCGATTCGGGTCATGGGAAATATTATACAAAAATCAATTGAGCACACATACCTGGTTTATTTTGAATAGTTATTACTGTTGTTGCAAACATAGTTAAATAATGTGGATGGTTGACTCTTAAATTTAGTAGAATTCATTACAAAGTAGTTATAAGCAATCATATTTAGATTTGTTAATTAAAAAAACCTCAGCACTTACAATAAAAAAGCGTAAAGTAGTTCTTTGAATTTGTATCTTTTAAAACATTTTGAAATTTGTTGCTGATTCTCAACACCATGAAACAGTAGTGTATATAAAATGACATATGGCGTATGTTGATTCTTCGTGCAAATAGTGATATTTTCGTATTTTATTTATCCAGTAAATACTGTGTAAAGAGTTATTGATTAGTAACAAATACTGAAGCATACTTTGCTGTTCTCATTTCAAATTTTTCTTGTGAGGAAATTTTCAAACCAATAAACCAATTTATTTTATTTCCATGATAACCTTAAAATATTGACAATATTAATGAACATAAATATTTCATTAAAAGCACACGCTAACACCATTAAAGCGTGATTCCTGAATATGGATTTTATTATATTAACTCAGATATAATATAACACTCCAATGAAACCACAGACGTACTTAAAAGTCAGCATTGTACTTTGTGTTCTAGAATGGTATTAAATTCAGTCAATTGGAAAATGACAATAAAGTGTTTTAATTAATCAAACAGGCTTTGAAAATCGATGGATAGATGATTTTAGTCCTCTTGTTTTCAATTCAATTAGTTAAGGACGTACTGATTAAACAAAGTATTATCAGA